TGCGGGCGAAGGCATTGGGCGCCACATCCTGGAGGGCGGCATGGTCTAGGAAGAGGTGCTTCAGAGAGGTCATGGCCAGGGCCTCCTCGGCCACATAGGTGATGGGGTTGTGGCCCAGGTCCAGGCGAGTAGCCCCGTCCAGCCTGGCCAGGGCCTCGCCGGGAAGCGCCTGCAACTCGTTGTGGTCCAGACTCAGCCTGCGCAGGGCGGGCAGGGCAGCAAAGGCCTCGCTGCCCAGCACATGGAGGGCATTGTGGGACAGCCGGAGCCACCTGAGGGCCTGCAGTCCCTGGAAGACCATGTCCGGGAGGTAGACCAAGGTGTTTGCCCTCAGGTCGAGGACAGTGAGGGACCCCAGGTGGCCAAAAGCACCCGGCTGGATCTCCTCAATCCGGTTCCCCTCCAGGATGAGCTGCTGGAGAGAGGAAAGCCCATCCAGGGACTCCTGGTAGAGGAGGGTTATGCCATTGGAGGCCAGGTTGAGGTAGACCAGCCTCCCCAGCCCCCGGAAAGCCCCTTCCTCAACCCTCTCCACCTTGCAGCGCTGCAGGTCCAAGTGTGTGAGGTATGGGGTTGCAAGGAAGGCTCCCACTGGGATGACTGTGAAGCTGTTGCCCCGAAGGTCCAGTTTTTTGGTAAGCTGTCGGTCACACAAATAAAATGCCACGTTACCCCAGGGCTGCGATCCCCACCGCCTCCCCCCCTATCCCCTGCCGGTCCCTTCTCCCACCTGCGGCATGGTGTCGGGGACGGCCGTCAGGTTCCCGTTGAGGCAGAGGACGTGGGCGTGGAGGTTGTCGCAGACACAGAGTGTGGGGCAGCGGGCGGCAGCTGCCTCTCCTAGCGCCAGGGCCACCAGGAGCAGGAGGAGCCCCCAGAACAGCCTCATGGCGGAGGGCACCTGCAGCCAGGGAGAGATGGCAGTGAGGCCTGGAGAGGGGCCAGGGTCCTATGTGGCCCCAAACAGCATCACCAAGAGGCACCAGGGGCCACTGCTGTGACCGAGTGGGGGCAGGTCTTGCCATAGCTTGCTCTCACACCATGTTTTCACAGGTTATAAATGAGGAAGATAGCAGAAGGAGAAAATATATATTTAGAATTAAAAGTGAAAGTCACAGATAGCAGTTCACCGCTTAGAAATAACTTTTACCTGGGTTATCTAAACTCCTTGAGGGACATTTGGGAGCACCTATGAGGGGCTTGGCAGGAGCCTGGGGTCACTTGTGGGGAACTGGCTTGGAGCACACACACCTACCCCACCACACCCCCCCCTTACTTCATATATCACTAGCATAAAATTGTCTTGATCTGTACAAGGTATCGATGTTCCTCCTACAATTGAGGCCTGTTTTCTTTGTAAGGCAAGCAGGTATGGCCACCCAGGGGACATGATCACGCTGGCTTTCTGAGCTGCCACCTTTCTTTTAATTGCAAATGTCCCACCTCTGCCGCCCTGGCCATCTCCTGCCTCCCAGCTCTGCGCCTCCCACCTTGCACGCTCCCTGCTCTCCCCCCCGCCCAAGCTATTCATAGCAGGTTTTGGAATAGATCTCCACTGTTTAGCTGCAGGAAGGCTGGGTTGATTTTGGCTGGGCAGGAGCAACCCCCTGGGGCGCAGGTGCTGGAGAGAGGCCAAGGCTGGGGAGAGCACAGAGGGGGCAGCGGGGCTGCAGACATGGCCAATACACCACCACCACCCCCCTGCTCTGGGGAGCAGCAGCAGTGGGGTCTGCATGGCTCAAACCCATGGAGCCACTGTGGTGCCCATCCCCTTGCCCGCCATGGCTCATCGTCCCCCATGGTCCCATGCCCCCACTCTGCCCTCCTGCAGCCCCCACAGCCAGCCCTGCCATGGCTCCCCCGCCACATCGGGGTCAGCCCCCTCCTGTGCAGTGCCCAGCAAGTGCCACTGAGGTGACGGCCCCAGCTCAGATGCCCCGTCTTGCACCTGGGCACCGCCATGTGCCACGCATCGTCCCACCACCCCTTCCCACACACCTGGGGGCTCACACACCCAGGGGCTGGGGGTACCTGGACATGAAGAAGCGGCAAAAAAGAGAGGAAAGCAGCTCCTGTCCCGTCCAGCAGCTCCTGCGCCGGTGTTTGCTCTCCTCGCAGAAGTGAGAGCTGAATGGGCCCCGTTGTGCCGCTTTCCCAGCAGCGCTCTCCAGGCTGAGCCAGAAACACAGAAGGAGAAGGAGGAGGCGGCGGCGGGGGAGGAAGGGTAGAGCACCCCTGGAGAGAGGGCATCGACCTACACATCGCCTCCCCCTCGCTTTGCAGGGGGCCAGGAGCACCGGCGCTGGAAAGCCAAAGCCTGGCATGTCGCAGCACCGACCCGCCCAGAGCCCGAGTGGGGTTTGCACTCACTGTTTCCCAGGCTCTGCCTTTCCTTTCCCGGCTGCGTAAGTCAGCTATGGAGGTGCAGGGCAGAAAGGGGACATCCAGCCAAAATTGCAACAGCAGCATTAAGCCTGAGCTGGCAAGGCGGGCTGTGGGGCTGTGCTGTATTTACAGCCCTCCGGTCTCCTAATTTTGCTGCTTTTCTTGTTTTGAGGAAGCCGGGGGTGGCAGCATCTGTGTGACACACCATTTGCTTGCAGAGGGGCATTGGGGGGGCCTTTGTTTTCCCCCTTCGACTCGCTCAGTTCCTTTGGGTTGGTTTTATCTGGTTTGGTTTTTTTTTTTTTTTGGCTCTGCATTTTGCTCACCCAGGGAACACAAGCAGCTCTGCAGCCCAACACACATCTGCAAGATTTGATACTGTCTCTCTCCCCTTCAAGCCCTTCCCCTGTTCAGCATTCTCAGCTGCCAGAACCAGTAGGTCCCATCCCAGTGCCACCCGTGGGCAACAGGCTTGCTGCCCGCGGTCTGTGAGCCTCCCCACTGCCAGATGGCCAAAGCCTCCCTGGCCACTGCCTTGGGCCAGCATCCCCTCTGTCCCCGCAGGCTCCCAGGGGTGCTTATTGCTCCCATGACACAGGGTGACCACCCAAACGCACTGACATGACGATCAGCTCGGAGGCACCAGCTCTCACACTCACCTCTGCTCTGCTGCGCAGGGAGCCCCACTGGGGGCGTCAGTCTAGAGGGGATGAACCTGCCGCGGTTCATCAAATCACCCAGACCCAATTTGGGGTTGGGGCTGGCCTCAGGGAGGGACAGGTGAAGGGAGTGGGGCCTGTTTTGTGTTCATCAGTGCTCCGGCTTGTGGTCTTCACCTTGCCCTAGCTGCATGCCACCAGCATGGCTGGGTCTTCACGTGTCCCCCCCCGTGCTGCTCCCGCTCAGTCTAGCAGTGCCGCATCCAGTGCCCCAACTCCAGTCTGTCCTCACAGCCACTACCAAGACGACCTTGTGGCACCACCTCTTCTCCACGCTGGAGGTCAGCTTCTTCCCAGACCTGCCAGACATCACTGCCCTCTGCCTAAGGGGCAGCGGGGCAGAGCAGCTCCAGCCGGGCGCTTTCAGGGGCCTGGGGTTCCTTGACCACCTCCACCTGAACTACAACCTCCCCACCCG